GATAATGGAGATAGTTGAGAATCTGTAGGATTGTTTTTTTGTGGAAGTGGAAGAAGCAGATGGACTCTAAAATGAGCCCCAGTTTTCTGGCTTAAGTTGTTATTGGAATCCAGATATCAAATATATCCTTCTCATTTCATGGAAGGAAATACCTTAGTACTCGGGTTAGGGCTGGAATATGTAAAGTGGGTGTTTTTTCATTAAAAATATTTTTTACTCTGTTATCTTTTTGAATTGGAATACTTAAAACATCATATAGGCGTTCCCTGCTTTTAGATGCAGTGCATTTTCCAATGTCCACCTCTTTTGCTGGGAGACAGTGACTGTGCATACCTTTTCCTTAGCATGTTCAAGTGTTGGCAAACTATCAAGTGAATGGGTTATGGTGGTAAGTATAGACATTTTATCAGGCAGTATTGGATGAGCACAGATGTGAAAATCAGACTACCTGCAGGAGTTATCACAGTTTTTTAGAACTGGATTATTAAATATTTAAAAATAGCTTGACTTTTTCTTATTTTTTGACTCTTAATCTATAGTTTGGCAAACAATAGGTCAATTATGGGAAAAACATCAGTTGCTAATCCTTGTAACTGGCCGAATTTATGATATTTTAAACGTAAGAAAAATATAACTATCTCTTTACTAAGATATGCTATAATGGGTACAAAATGCCTCATAATAGATGTGCTCTTGTAAATTGAAATATAAGTAAATTGTGGCAAATTAATTATTTTAACTATTCGAGGGAAGCTAACTTCTAGAAGCCTGTTGTGCATCTTTTTATAAAATAAATGATCATTTCATAATATACCTGTTCTATACCTTAAATCTTTGAGATCCTGGGTTTTCTTAAAGCAAGTATCACTATAGTGCCTTGCAAAATAATGTATGACATATGAATAGCAGCATACAATTTATAGAACACTTTGATTTGCATTATCTCATTTAGTAATTAAAAAAGACCTTTGACAGTAATTTGCTTTAATTTTCTATATTTAGCAGAAAGTCAGTATATCTGATTTTTTAAATTATAGAAGTGATAGCCATATTCCAGAAACCTGAGAAATGGAGGACCCTAATAAAAAAGCTATTATAATATTTCCTTCTCTGGGTACATTTTTAAAATAGTTTTAAAGGTAGTACACATGAAGTTTTATTTGTATTATTAAACTAAGTGCATAAGGTTGATTGCCTTTCATTATTAAGAATCTGTCTTTTATATTATGAAATTTTAACCTGACTAACTTGTTTTTTAGTAACTCTGGGTGGATTTTAACCACGACCCTTGTCCTCTCGGTGATGGTATTGCTCTGGATCTGTTGTGCGACCGTCGCTACGGCTATGGAGCAGTATGTTCCCTCTGAGGTAGGTTTAATCCAAGCCCTTGGGCCGTTTGAATGCTGAGCCATGTGATTTACCATTTTAAATGCCCGTTTGTTAACTAGAAAAACAAGGCCTCTCTCCTAATGGAAGGAGAGAAGATGAGGTGGTTTTAATCCCACATGGAAATGGCAGGTTTGTAGCACGAGAATCACTGTCCCCAGTTTTCCATGACACTAACTACCGGAGTGCCGTATAAGTTGGCTGGTCTGAGTAAGGGGTCTCTCTCTCCCCCCTGGTTTTCTGAGCCTAAAAAGAACCTGTTGACACCAGTTTCTAAGATGATCTGTAAGAAGAAAGATTTGTAGAACTACTTAAAATTTTAAATTAATTGCCACAAATGTTAAGGAGTAATTGCTGCTTTAGAAGCAGCAAGGCTAGAGTATTTGATTTTTGAGTTAGTATGTGCTGGTATCTAACCCTGAGAGAGATGGAAAACTCTTGTGACTTCTTCTGACCCAAGAAACCGAACTGTGTAAAGGATTTTTGTTTTGGGAAAAGGCTATAATTTGGTGAGTCAGCTTAGCTTTCAAGAAAGGAAAGTTATTTATGTAACTAAATAGAGGATAATCATGTGTATGGACATCAAATCCAACTGAAATACACTTTAGTTTTCTTGTGCCTCCAAAGTGTAATAGAAAAATATTTAAAAGAAGAAAGGAAAGAAATTAAAATAGAATCTAATAATAACTAGCATGTGCCTAGCATGGTGCTTAAACAACAGTCTTGTCTTAGAAGGCTATAAAGATAGCTTTTTAAATAGGTTTACATATGAGTAATGATTATGATAATATTATATTTTGTGTTTTTTATTAAGATGCTATGTGATATAAGCAGCTAGAAACTGGAACAGGATAATGTTGGTCACTAACATTTATAGAGTTCTTTAAAATTTACAAAATATTTTCATATATCTGCCATGTCCAGCAATACTCTAGAGCAGGTTTTGTTATTCACTTTATAGATCAGTAAATAGGCTTATAATGCCTAGGTAACTTTCCTGGGTTTGCACAGCTGTGAAAGTATTGAAACTGGAATTCAGCTCATGTCTTCTGACTTGCAACTCCTGTCTTTTTCCTATATACTATATTTCCTATGGCTGATAAGGTGGCACAAATAATAAATATATAAAGTGTTAAGGAAAGCAGAGTCTGTGTGCTGAGATTATCAGGGAGGGCTTTTGGATAATGAGGATCTTGACCTAAATTTTGAAAAATGGGTAGTAAGGCTTGGATTAGCAGAGAGAGAGGAGAGTGTATAATTTTCCCAATTACAGACAAGAAAAAGCTATCAGGTGGGGCGCCTGGGTGGCTCAGTCAGTTAAGTGTCCAACTCTTTGATTTCAACTCAGGTCATGATCTTGGGGTCATGAGATCGAGCCCCACTTCAGGCTCCATGCTGGCTGTGGAGCCTGCTTAAGATTCTGTCTCTCCCTCTGCTCTTCCCCACCCCCCTCCATGCTTGTGCTCTCTCTCTTTCTCTCACTCTCTCTCTCAAAAAAAATAAATAAATAAGCTATCAAGGAAGGACTATAAGGAATTGACTTGGTAAGAAGAACTTAAATTAGGAAATCAAATGGATAAAGTTAGACAGGATTGGGAAGAACTTGGAATTGTGGAAGTATTAAAGAATAGGTAGATTTCTATAGAACTCATCTGTTTATGATATGAATATACAGATAACATCCTGTTTCTGCATTACCTATTTGTGTTATTGTTTAGTTTTGATGTCCATATTGTAATCATTTTGATGTTCCTGATAAAACTGAAATTACTTACCTTATAGGAATGCCTTTGCCTGTTACTTCTTTTGAGCTGCTCTATGCTCTCTACATTCTCATACTAATAAATCCTTATTGACCCCCACCCACCCTGTGGTACTTTGTTCCTTCCTTTTTGTTCATCAGTACAGTTCCTTTTCCTTACTCCCCAGGTGCCCTTTGTCAAAGAAAAATTCCATAGAGATTGGTCCAGTTATTGTCAGGAAAGACTGGATGGCTGACTTAGGTGGAATTTACCTTGATCAATCCACCACAGCCTGGATCCTGGTCCCCAGGCCTACTGACTGATGTCGAGCACTTTCTCCCAGGCACTGTTCTCAATGTTTTATCTGAATTAGCACATTCAGTCCTTTCAGTAACTTGTGAGATGGCTGCTATTATTATCCCCATTTTCCAGATATGAAGACTGCAAAAGAAGAGTGTATAATTGCCCCAGTATCACTTACTAGTAGTTGCAGAATCAGAATTTTAACCCAGGTAATCTGACTCCAAAGCCAGTACCCTGAAGTTTCTTTAATTAGCCTGAAATCATAAATAGGAGAGTTGATGTTGTGTTTCATTCAGGAGCTGATCTCCTTTGTGCCCTCTTTGACACTAGGAAGATAGATAACCACCTGGACCACATGGTTCATGTTTTTGAGCCAGGATCCTCAAATTCTCTCTTATGCAAACAGTTCTCAGATGGGCATCTCATGGGTTTTCCTCTCTTATCTCCTTACGTGATTTAATGGCAATGACCTCTTCTCATTGTGGCTTTGGTTACATCTTACAGACCTGGGGGTCTTTCCCTCCCTTTCAGATGACTCTTGAGCTTCTCTTCCTTTCAGATGTTTGTCAGTGCTCTAAATTTTGTTTTGATAGTATAGCTTTAATTCTGTGAGAAATTCTCTCCTGTTTTCCAAGTTCTTTGGGGAAACACCTCACTATTCCCACATACGCCCCTTGGCCCCTGTGATCATAAAGCTTAAGGCATCAGCACTACACACAGAGTCCTGTTGGCAGCTGTTATATTCCCCCTAGATATCTGCCATATGGATGTTTCTTCCTTGCCCCTCTCTAGAACTCTACTACGTATCCTTAACAATCAAAATTATGGCTACACCCTCAAAAGGCCTGTACTTTTCTAAGAAGATATATTTTTCTGGAAAAATGTATGGAAAACAGCCCTTTAGATTCACTGCTTTTAGGCTTTATTTCCTATGTGAAACCCCCTTTGGCTAGGTAATAATGTTTCAACTATTGCTTTTTCATTATAAAAATTCTTTATGCTTACTGTAGAAATTTGTAAAGTATATACAAAGAAGCAGAAAGAAAAATCACTTATCATCCAAAACTATTGTAGTGTTTCCATTTTATTTTATTTTTTTAAAGATTTTATTTATTTGAGAGAGAGAGAATGAATGGGAGGGAGAGGGAGAGAGAATCTGAGGTAGACTCCACACTGAGTGTAGAGCCCGACACAGGGCTCCATCCCACAATCGACAGATCATGACCTGAGCCAAAACCAAGAGTCGGATGCTTAACCAGCTGAGCCACCCAGGCGCCCCTGTAGTGTTTCCATTGTAGTGGATTTCTTTTCAGCATAAATAATTTTTAATACATACTAATATTTTGGTTCTTGTTTTAAAACATATTATAGTATAAATACTCTGTCCCTGGTATTTTTTCCTCTGTTTACTGTAAAAATAGCTGAAAATTTAGCATACCAAAGTTACGCAGTTTTATTGGCCAAAAGCCAACTATTTTTCACTTTCATAAAACCTTCTCATTGATTTTATTATTGAAACATAAATTATTTTTGACCCCTTTCCATAGTAACATAAGACTTCATTTTAAGTTCTACAAGTATAATTCATGTGTGAGCAATATTATTTCTATTTTGTTATATTATTTACATATATGATCCTGTGTGTTTGTAGGAAATCATAAGCCTGCTGAGAGAATGTGTGTCTCTTCAGTACTGACCTGGTATCTGGGAGCTCAAACATGAAATAGAACAAGCTTCCTTTTTAGTCCCTACAAAGTTTAAAATGGTGGCAATAAAGATCAGGAGTGTGATCTTAGAAACTTAGGAGCAGCTTTGTTTTTCTTGTATAGGAAAGCTCTGTAATAATTTATCTTTAGCCTGCTTTGCACATAGTAGGTACTCATCATATATCATTTGATTATAATGACCAGAAAAAGTTGGCAAAGAATTTCATTTCTTTGGTTGATCTTAAAGCAGTGTCATTTTTGAGTGACTTGACTTATAAAGATTTCTTCTCATTTCTCTACTTTTTTTTCTTTTTCACATTTTTTATGTCATTTTTGAAACTTTATGGGATGACACTTTCTCTTGTTGAGCTATCTGTTTAAGATAAAGAGTTGTCATTCATAGTGGTCCTAGTTGGGCAGGTCAGTCTTGACATGTGAGAACAGGATGCAGCAGTATTGGAGATTTCTTCCTAGAGATCAGGCAGAAATTTGCTATTGCAACAGGTGGTGATATAGATGCTTCCTCGGTGTTATCTCATCATCTGTGTGCTTCCTTTTTAATTATTTGTCAAGATCGTGATCCTCTGATTTCATGTGGTCAGTTAAAAAGAGTTTTAGCTTTCTTGAGCCGCTCCCATGCAGTCCCTGCCCACCCTGGTCTATAGTGCTTGCAGCTTTTCTCCTTTACGATGCCTGAGGAAGTGCACCATGGAGAGGAGGAGGTGGAGACTTGCCTTCCAGACAGAAATTGCCCAGTTCATGTTTCTTGTCATCAATACCTTCTGTTCCAAGGAGGAAATTTTCCTTTGGGAATTGATCAGTAGTGCATGGACAAGATTCTCTATCAGAGCCTGACAGACCCTTCTAAGTTGGACAGTGTTAAAAAACTGAAACCCCTAGGAATACACCCTGACTCCGGTGGACACAGGCCTTTACATAACCAAAGCTGACCTCATAAATAATTTGGGAGCCATTGCCAAGTTGGGTACTAAAGCATTTATGGAGCCTCTTTAGGCTGATGCAGACCTCTCTGTGATTGGACAGTTTGGTGTTGGCTGTTATTCTGCCTCCATGGTGGCAGAGAAAGTGACTGTGATCACGAAGCATAGTGATGATGAGTAGTGTGCCTGGGAGTCTTCTGCTGGGACTCCCTCACTATATATGTGGACCATGATGAGCCCATTGGCCGGGCTACCAAAGTGGTCCTCCACCTTAAAGAAGACCAGAGTACTTGGGAGAGGCTGGTCAAAGAAGTGGTGAAGAAGCACTCACAGTTATCCCATCACCCTTTATTTGGAGAAGGAACAAGAGAAAGAAATCATTGATAGTGAGGCAGAGGAATAGAAAGGTGAGAAAGGAGATAAAGATAATGAGAAACCCAAGACTGAAGATGTGGGCTCAGGTGAGGAGGATGATAGCAGGAAGGACAACAAAAAGAGAACAAAGAAGATTAAGGAGAAATGTATTTATCAGGAAGAACTGAACAAGACAGGCTCATTTGGACCAGAAACTCTGGTGACATCACCCAGGGGGAATATGGAGGGTTCTACAAGAGTCCTACCAATGACTGGGAAGACCACTTGGTAGTCAAGCACTTATCTCTAGAAGGTGAGTTAGAGTTTAGAGCATTGCTGTTCATTCCCTGTTGGGCTCCTTTTGATTTCTGAGAACAAGAATAAAAAGAACAATATCAGACTCAGTCTGCTGTCTGTTCATCATGGACAGCTGTGATGAATTGATAAGAGAGTATCTCAACTTCATCCATGGTTGTGGTTGACTCTGAGTACCTGCCTCTGAACATTGCCCATGAAACACTGCAACAGAGCAAAATCTCCAAGATCATTTGCAAAAATACTGTGAACATGTGCCTTGAGCTCTTTGAGGTGGCAGAAGACAAGGAGAACTATATAAGAAATTGTATGAGCCAATCTCTAAAAATTTAAAAGCTTAGAATCCATGAGGACTGGACTAATTGGCTACTCCTTTCTGAGCTGCTGTGTTACCACACCTCCTAGTCTAGAAAGGAGAGGACTTCTCTTTCAGAATATGTCTCTCACATGAAGCAGACCCAGAAGTCCACCTGTTACATCACTGGTGAGAGCAAAGAGCAGGTTGTCAACTCTGCTCTTGTGGAGCAAATGCAGAAGCAGGGCTTTGAGGTAGTTTAGATAACCGAGCCTATTGACGTATACTGCATGCAGCAGCTCAAGGAGTTTGATGTGAAGAGCCTGGTCTCCTGTTACCAAGGAGGGCATGGAGCTGCCTGAGAATGAAGAGGAGAAGAAGAAAGTGGAGGAGAACAAGGCCGTTTGAGAACCTCTGCAAATTCATGAAAGAAATCTTAGATAAGAAGGTGACAATTTCTGGGGCACCTGGGTGGCTCAGTCAGTTAAGCGTACAACTCTTGATTTCGGCTCAGGTCATGGTCTCAGGGTCCTGAGATCGAGCCCTGCATAAAGTTCCATGCTCAGCAGGGAGTCTACTTGAGGATTCTCTCTCTCTTAAATAAATAAATCTAAAAAAAAAAAAAAAAAGGTGACAGTTTCCAATAGGCTTAGGTCTTCACCCTGCTGCATTGTGACTAGCACCTACACTTGGACAGCTAACATGGAGCACATCAGAAAAGCCCAGGCACTTTGGGATAACTCTGCAACGGGCTGTAGGATGACCAGAAAGCACCTGGAGCTCAACCCTGACCACCCCATTGTGGAGACACTGCAGCAGAAGGCAGAGGCCGACGAGAATGACAAGGTCATCAAGGACTTGGTGGTGCTGGTGTTTGAAACGACACTTCTCTCTTCTGGCTTCTCACTTGAGGATCCCCAGACCCACTCCAGCAGTTATCCACTTCATGGTCAAGTAAGGGCTGGGCATTGATACAGATGAAGTGACAGCACAGAAACCCAGCGCTGCTCTTCCTGATGAGATCCTCCCCCTTGAGGCTGATGAAGGATGCCTTTCCCGTGGAACAAGTAGATTAGGAGTTTCTACCTGCAGACCTTGTGCCCTCTGTATAGTGTCCCCATGGCTTCCCCAGTGGCCTTGAGTGGCCCTGGCCCACCTGGTTCCCTCTGCTGATTCCAAGTGGGTTTTTCCCCTCCTGTCTTTCTGTCTAAGGCAGGATACAAGGGCCCTGAGCGCTATCTTTTCCCACATCTGACATTGGGTTTGGATGTGTGTTGTGGGGTTTTTGTTTATTTTGTTAGGAAATCAAAGATGTGAAATAAAGAAGACGCAGTTTTATACAAAAAAGAAGAAGAAGAAGAAGAAGGGTTTTGGAAGATTCCTAATAACATTGACGTTAGTAGATCACGTACATTTATGAATAACTTACTATGTGCCAGGCTATGTTCAAGGGACTAGAGATACAATTGAGAATATTATGATCAAGATGGAATGAAATGAAATGATGAAGGCTTCCAAGATTCAGGAAGTAGGGTGAATATGTCTTAAATTGTAATAAGCATTATTTTCTTTGTCTTTAAAAAAAAAGACCAAGAACCTTACTGTTCAGAAGTGTTAAGTCTGCTAAAAGAGTCAGAAAATCAGAAAACAATGTAAGTGCCACAGTTTTTAAATCCAAATTCTGTTAAGAAGCTGAGTTTTGGAGATTTAAGCAGCTTTCCCGAGCTCGTGTAACTGGCTAATGGCAGAGCCAGGCCCAAAGCCCGCTGCATACTTACTAATTTACTTGTTAACTTTTAGAAGTAATATGTGTGACCTCAATTGTCTTCTTTTTCTTCACTTCTCAGATAAATCAGTTAATAGTTTAAGCAATTTTTCTAAGTAATTACCATATTTTAATTTTATCTTCTATATAATTTTTATCTTCTGTTGGAATTTTATCTCATTTCTTGTTTTATCAACTTTAGACATTATCTGAGGTCTTCTTACTGAAAAATGAGGAACTTGGTTTGCTCATACTATCTCCCACATCACCTTCATCTCTTCACATTCTGGTTTTTGTAATGTAAATTTTATAGACTTTTAGTGATTTCTCTGTAAATTTCAGCTGACTCCTCATTACTTCCTTTCCTTCCCTCTTTCTTCCCATACTCTCAATTTTCATTAATTATGACCCTTGACAATAAAATGCAAATGTTAATTCTTCTGTATATATACTTCAATGCTTTGCTACTGGTTGACTTGGAAAATTAAATCCAGTAGACAGCATTTACAATATTATGACTATGTAAGTATTCAAAATAGAACCAAATACAGTGGTGAATAGAGTCACATAAAAGCAAATAGAAAACTGAATTACTTAAAACTTTCCCAAGGGAGTCTTCCAACTATCTCTGCTTAATGGAATCTTTTTTGTTTTGTCCTGGTTTTCTTCCCATTTTCTAAGTCCTCTCAACTGCTGCTGTTTCTTGTATTCTATGTGTTTTGCTTTCTTGAATTACTTTTGCTGGAGTACTTTCTTAAGTAATTTTTTTCATAAAGGACGCTTGGGTGGTAAACTTATCAAGTTAACACTGTTGAAAATCTCTCTGTTGTACTCTTGTATTTAATTGGTAATTTGAGAATGCAGAATAGACACAAAATCAATATACATACTACAGATTATCCATATGCTCTCATTCATTTCTCCACACACATTTTACACTTTCTTCCTGTTCTAGATAGCTTCTTCCATGTCGATGTTTGAAATCATTGCAACAGTTCCTGGTTGCTGTTTCAAGGTCTTTAAATGCTGTTTGGTAAAGTTGTGAAAGTTTTTCTTTCCCAGTGTCCCAGAGCAAATTATCACACGTTAATTCTGAGTTTTAAGGAGGCCACATTATGTCAGCTTTATGTCCAATCCATCAACCACTGAATTTGTCTGGAAGATACTCTTACTGGAAAAGCGTAAGGTACTGGGCTCCCTCGTTGTTGCAGGATAGTTGTTGCCTTGAAACTGTAGGCATCAGGCCACATCTGAAACATGTTCAAGTCAGCACCCATCATGACAGTCACTTTTAGAACATTTTCATTACACCAAAAAGAAACCTCGGACTCATTAGTAGTCACTCCCACTGCCTCCCAAGGACCGCCACCACCACCCTGAGCCATAAACACCCAAAATGTGGTCTCTCATGACTGATGTCTTTCACTTTGCATAATGTGTTCAAGGTTCATCCATGCTGTAGCATGTAGCAGTGTTGGTAGATGCTTAATCTCTTGAAAGTCCTCGTTATTCAACATCTTTTAAAAAATACTTTTCCAATATCAAGTACTTCTAGGTGGTTTTTGCTTTATAATCTAGTCAGTTTCCCTGTTAATAATGTCAGCACTTCAGTTGTTAACTGATAGATTCAGAGATTTGTTGCTGTATGAGTTAACGACATCTACCCATTCTGCAGTAAAAACTTCTCACTTTGCTTTTCTGCATCTAGGAGATAGACCTAATCCAAATAGACCTACTTTCAAAAGATGTTAGACATAACTATTACAGTCCAGGGAGTTTTATGCTGTTTACATTGATTCTGTTTTATGATTTTATTCTTTTTTTGTAGTATTTTCTTGGATATGATAGAAACAATTTGAGGAGCTTTTATATATTTCTGAAGAGATTTGTATCTGTGGTAAAGTGTTTCATGTATATTCTTTGTTCTACTCATAGCCTTTTGAAATATCTTTTTCCAATGTGTTAAGTCAAAACTTACCCCAAATCATTTGATCCCTTGTTCAGAGAGCTAAGATCTTAAAGGAATTGATTGCCTAACACATCGAACATCCAGAATCAGTGCTCTTGGTTTGACCACACTAACTCCATTTAAACCTGAGCAATTTTTCTTGATACTTAGTTGTTATCTTTCTAAGTATTTTAAGTTGGGACATGTGGAAAAGTTTTCTTTGGCCATTTATTGGAAGCTGAATCACATATCAGTAACACTGAGTAAAAGCATTCTTCCTTCTTGAAATGTCTATAGTTTTTTGTTTTGTTTTACCAAATACCTGTAGATTAAATTGTTATTTGAAGACGTTCTCAGAGAGGTTCTTAACTATTCAAATTGTTAATGTGCTTTGATTTTCTTTTGCAGAAGCTGAGTATCTATGGTGACTTGGAATTTGTGAATGAACAAAAGCTAAACAGATACCCATCTTCTTCTCTTGTGGTTGTTAGATCTAAAGCT